CCCGAATCTGCAATCGCGCTTCTGGGGTGTTTGATGCCGGGGTGTCTGCTTCGGAGCTTGAGGTTCCGACGTAAGGCCTGCGGCGGGTCGTCCGGTTGAGGACAGGAGGTTGAATCACCGGTCCATCTTTATCTCTGGACTCTCAGAACTTAGGCATCGCACAGTGGTTCAAGTGTCAAGCAACTAACCCTATGCTCTCCAGAATAGCAGCCTAGACAAGCACTTTACGATGCTAAGCCCTCATATTCAAAAGCACTAGCAATACGAATACTACTACTAACAACAGCTTTAATACCATTTAAGTGGCAACAACTTGAATAAGGGTAATACCAATAATACTGCTATCCGATTGCAAGACAGGACGAGGAGTGCACATTTCACCACGCTTGATGCTTGACTCTGAAGATGCACAGTTTCTATACACAAAGCCTGAAACACTCTAAGAATACCTCCAACCCGATCCCTCAACCCGATAATTTCAGGATGCAGAATAACGAAGACTGACGTCGGAAATAATCTTAAGCCCCGCCCCTAAACCCTAACCCTAAACCCTAAACCCTAAATCCTAAACCCTAAACCCACCTCCATGAGGTGCGAGACGGTTGCGTGATGCTGCCGGTGGCCCTGGCATGCCTGCGGACTCCACAGAAGGCTTCTGTTTAGGGTTTAGGGTTTAGGACATACTCAGACCCTAAAAATGTCGCGGTTGTTTTGGTTGCCTGAGCTTCTGATTATGGGAGCCGAACCAGAAAATTCAAAGAGGTTAACCCCGAAAAATTGCCACATCCTCGTGTTAAGGCGAACCTGTCTTTCAGAAACCTTGTAGGCTCTGTCTTTGACTGATCCCAGTCAGAGTTTGTTGCCCTTTGAGGGTTTTTCTTAAAGGTTCAGGGATGCTAGGGGTTTAGGGTGTAGATGGCAATCCCTGCGCCCCAAAGCTTGCAGCAGCGACCAAGACGAATTGGCAACAGTTGGCAGTTTCGAGCTTTGTCGGTGCACCTGTGCTGGGGTTTAAGGTTTAGGGTTTAGGGTTTCGGGTTTGGGGTTGGTTTGACGAACTCTCATTGCGGCTTGGATGGTGTAAGAGTGTAGCGTATTGTCCATGGGGATTGATTGAGAACCCCAAAACCTGCTTGGACGTACCATCCTGGAGCTGTAAAAAATGAAGAAACGGTGGCTAGTACTACCTTTGATTCAAGCGTAGTGTTGCTTTGTCGCTGTTGCCTAGCTTCTAGTTAGCTTTGGCCTGGCACGATGCACTCAGATTATTTCAGCTCTTCTCCCACCGCCCCAATTGAAGCGGCTCAGTTGGTTGCTTTGGTCCCTATGCAGATTCAACCTTTCAACCTTACAAGCGGAAGTAGTTGTGGGGTCGAAGATGTCGATACATTTCCGGTTTGGTCTAGGAATCGACAGGCTTGTGCCTTTAATTTGTGATCGAGGTTTTAATGTGCAGTTTGGGGAAGTTTTTAAGCTAGAGACGCAAGTTCGTCGAGCTGCCTCACATCAGTCTTTGTGCAGGTATGCCAGGAGCTTCTGCCGTTTTCTCCTCAGTCATTTGAGGGTTTCCGGGCCCCTAGACCCTAAACCCTGAACCCTAAACTCTAAATAACCCTAGACCCTAAACCCTAAACCCTAAACTGTAAATAACCCTACACCCTAAACCCTAAACCCTAAACTCTAAATAATCCTACACCCTAAACCCTAAACTCTAAATAACCCTACACCCTAAACCCTGAACCCTAAACTCTCTGTCTGTAGCAGCCTTGAACTTCGGGGTCGATGGGTTGTGTTGGTTTTGAGTTTCGGGACCTGGGGTCAACGGCGTGGCTCTACAAAATCTTAGGGGCTTAGTAGGTAACCTTTAACCTTTTAGGGCTCTTATAATCCTACTATAATTCAAAAGGTTAACCTTTTTTGGGCTAGGGTACTCAGTCCCTAAGAAATGTCTGGAGCTGTACATATAATAAACAGTAATACAGTAGTGATATAAATAGTAGCAATGAATAATACTAAGAGTAATAATTAAATAATTGTGGTCTGAAGCGTTACAAAATATACGAATGATCACGTGGCTCTTTCCGGTTTTCCGTCCCGTGCAATATGGAATCTCTGGTAAGCTTCAAGCCTAGAGGGTACACGGCTGACCTCGTGGCTACACGCCACACCGTCGGGACGAAACAAGGCATCAATTCGCTCTTGTGATTAGTTTCGGGCTTGTCCACGGTTTGGGGGGGTTCGGACTCATGGTTTGGTGTGTCTGTTTCTATGTGTCTGTGTGTGTGTGTGTGCGGGTGAGTGCGCGTGAGTGGGACTGCGCGTGTGTGTGTGTGTCTCTGTCTGTGTCTCTGTGTGTGTCTCTGTGTCTCTGTCTGTCTGTCCGCCTGTCTGCCTGGCTGTCTGTCTGTCTCTGTGCGAGTGGATTAGTGTTTTTTGTTTGAATGTGTGTGTGTGTGTGTGTGTGAGTGTGTGGGTGGCTAGGTGGATGGTTACTTTGTTTGTGTGTTTGTTTGTTTGTTTTGGTTGTTTGTTTGTTTGCTTGTTGGCTTGCTAGATTGCTTGCTGGCTTGCTTTCCTTATTTGTATGTTTCGGGTTAGGAGTTAGGCTTTGCAGTTCATGGTGCAGCTTGTGTTGGCTTGCTAGCTTGCGGCTCGAGCTGTTTGCCTTTGGCCACACGCTCCGCAGACCCCACTCAGACAGTTGAATCTGACCCACCCAGCTCTGCAAGTCTAGTGAGGATTTTCATGGCATTTTTGCCTGGATCCTCGTGATGTTAAGTATGCACACTGCTGCATGGGTTTCCCAGATTTACCGGAAGCCCTAAGCCTTACGTAGCCCCTGTACTTTCAAACCTGCGGCTCTGCAGACAGCTGCAGACCCATGCTAGAGGCTGACGTCCAAAGGCAAGATATCTGTCCCTGGACCTGAACCCCAAAACCGCACGTTTAAGGCAGTTATATACTGAGGCTATGGTACTGTCCCCTAAACCCTAAACCCGAAACCGGTAGGAGCCTTCGGTAAGGAATATGTATAGGACGGAAGAGGGGCCTTCTTTGAGGCTTAGCCCTTAACGGTCCATGTGCCCGCATGGCTATATACTTTGAGCTTAAGTACCCAGAAAGGGCTTAGGGTTTGACTACTTTAATAGGCCTACCCATAGACCCCATAGTACTTCCTGTTTGTGGCTTATATGTAGGATCCTATTAAGTAATCCCAAAATGGAACTACTATGGGGCCGATGGGTAAGCAAAAAAGACTCTATGAGTACATGGACCCTTGCGGTCGATAAGTGAAGCCTTCCCGATGGCGGCGCTGGCGCTGCAAGCCCGGGCTGCACATATCGGCCGTTGGCCCAGCTGGAGATGTTTGTTTCGGTTGGTGGGGTTCAGGGTTCCGGGTGCTCAGAACGGTGGGGATGTGAGGGTTTCGAAAGGGTATTGATTTCAGTTTGAAGAGGATCCCCGTTCTCCTTCTGACGCCCAAAGCTTCTCTGAGGCTCGAGATGGCGAAAGGCAGCCCTATGAACCATGGGTTCTGATCTTCAGAATCTCAGTTCCGTACTTCAGAACCCTAAACCCTAAACCTTAAAGCCTAAACCCTAAAGCCTAACCCCAATTTCGTGGTTCAGGTGCGATGAACAGCCAGCCTGCTTCTGAGTGTCGGGATTCCGGGCTGGAGGCTTTAGGTCCCTTTAGCTTGGACGCTGTATTGTCTGTAGTTTAGGGTATAGGGTTAGGGTTTCGGGTTTAGGGTTTATGGTTTTAGGGGTTTAGGGCTTTAGGGTTTAGGATTTAGGGTTTTCCGATTTTCGGGTTTAGGGTATAGGGTTTAGGGTTTAGGGTTTCGGGTATAGCATAGTACCCTAAGTCCCTGAACCGATCCTGTATCGAAAGCCAGAATCCCAAACCGCGCAAGTCTTTCTTGTCGCTCCGCCTTCCTTGGACTCTAGTGTAGGGTTTAGGTTTAGGGTTGAGAGCATACATGCCTCAAGCCATAATTAAGCCGCGCAGGTTCAGGGTTTAGGGGTGTTGGCATGCGAGCTGTCACATGACATAGTATAGCGGCCTCTACAATAGCCAGTACTATTCTCTTATGGTCATCATAACGAACCGCAAAACCCCATTGCACATGTCGAGGCCTTCATGTGATTAAGTTGCTGGTTCCTATTTTGTTTTCGTGACTTACGGCATGGGTCAGCATGGCGTCTCCTGAAAACCTAGAGCTTACACGCAAGCTAACCATGCACTACCAGTATTGTCACTGTTGTTCATAGTTGTTCTTGTTATTCTTCATTATTTCGAGTGTGACAACTATATATAAGTTATTTCAGTTCGAGGCCGGAAGTGTGCGGGATTGGAATGTACTCAGTGAGCCCAGGGGCCAGGGGCCGAGGACCCGATAGTTCTCACGTAATATAGAAGCATCAATGATTACTAACATTATTCCTTAAGGTTCCTTTTTTTAATGGTATTCTAAAGGAGCCCAAAATCCCATTTTAATTATTAAGGCCCCTACATTACCACCACCCCCAAGCTTGAAGTCAAAATTGAGAACTCTCGAGGACCTCCCAATTCAGGAGCCTTTTCAACAATTTAAGATTCAAGTTTTAGGATATACCTATAGAGTTTAGGAGATGGGCTTATTATTAGTACTCAAGCTGTATTCCTTCGTTTAGACTTTGGGGGTACCTACCTTGCCCTGACTTCTTCTGACATTCACTACTCGGGCGGTCGGATCCTGAAATCCTAGGTTCGTACTGAGAGGCTCAACATTCTGCCTCACGGACCCTTACGAAGTTTCAATCATGTTATTCTGGTAATTCGTGTAAACGCTAAGACTATTGCGATTGATCAAACTGTTTTTCCGCCAAATGGTCTTTTCTGTTCGTAGGATGGTCATGATTGCTCGTGATGTGTTCCCTGTCGTCCTAAACCACAACCTGCTCGTTGCTTTGGCTCATCAGCGGCATCATGGCCGTTTATCCGCTCATTGCTAAGCAATGCGCGCTACATGGACTGCCTGGGTGATCCTCCTGCTTCAGGTTTGCTGGCTTACCCTGGGCAGGGATCACGGACTTTGTCTCGATGATGGCGTTCCTGACAACCGTCGAATGTGTGCTGAACCGCTTTTGGAAGCTTTTTTCCCATCACGTCGTGACAACCTGCGTAGCGCAAACTCTAACTGCCGCACGTGTTGAGCAGCGCAGGTACGTGCAGGACCTTCTCAACGCATCGGGTGCAGGACCTGAAACTCCAATTCGCTTAGTAGTTTTCGATTGGGCATCTGCGCGCGTCGCCACGGCACTAGCTGCAATTTTCATTCGCAACCAGTCTGCATTTCAGCATGAGCTGCTCGTGTCGTATTCTGTGGAACGAACCGGCGAACCGATCAGCAGCTTTAAACAAGATCCACATCTCTGGACTATGTACCTATGTCTGTACTGTCATGACACCTCAGCAAATCATCCTAACTAAACTTGAAACCCGAAGCCACCCAAACTACACCCAAACCCTAAACCCCTAAACCCTACGCCCAAACTACACCCAAACCCTAAAACCCCTTAACCCAACATCCAAATTGCTACTTCAGACTCGAAGATCTGCCTCTATCCGGATTGTAAACTTGGGCTCTCAAACCCCTAGGTTTAGGGTTTAGGGTTTAGGATTTAGGGTTTAGGGTTTAGGGGGCCTACCCTTAGCATCAAAATAGCCCAAAAGCCTTATAGAATAGGGTCTTTGGGCCCAGAAGCCTTAACATATGAGTCCTTTTGAGGGTAAGGGTTATAGTGAACCCCAGAAAGTTTTCAAACCGGATGAAGGCCAAATAGTGCTGGGATTCCCTGTGTATGACTGTCGGCTTCTACTGCACACCCTAAACCCCGAACTCCTGAACCCTCCGCTCCAATCCCTGACATTGATCTACAAGGATACGACAGATGGACTTACAAGATCTCCCTCATATCTCGTCTTAGGGGTTTTAGAGGGTCCGTTTTACTACCATTCTGGAGTTACGAGCACAAAACTATGACAAGGGTGGTCTGTTGGGACCTGATTCCACACTGGGATTTGGGCAACCTTAGTCTACACATACACCTAATATCAATAATTACCTACATTATTTTGGGGGTTCCTTATTTTAATTATATATAATATACCCCAAAACCCTATTCTAATTATTAAGGCCCCTATATAGCCCTATATAAATCCCTAACCACTAAACATATTAGTAGTATACTATACAAAAAAAACCTTGTTCTAATGATTAAGGCCCCTACAGTAACTTCTTCTGGTCCCTGAAAGCCTAAACGCAAATTTTGGAGGTGAGGTTCTGGGTTACCATACCGTCATCACGCCGGAGATTGCTCCAGGAGGGTGTAGGGTTCGGGGCATCAGGGGTTTGGGGTGTAGGGTTTGGTCTTGCTTTGGGCCTGGTGTTTACTTAATTAGCTGTTCTCCGGGACATGTTCCAAGCGTTTGATCTTGTTTGGGTCTTGCTGGTTTTTGCAGCTGCTCCAAGAGCTACTGTAGCTTTTTTGTTCCTACCCCAATAGTACACACCTTGGCCTTAATGTAGTCCCTATCTATGTACTTTCGGGCCTAGGTATATACGATTTTGGCACATGGACCCTTAAGGGGACCCTTTTCTAGAACCCTATAGTACCCATTAAGGGGAACCCTATTATCGAACCCATATGACCTTGAGGGTATTTTGGCACATGGACCCTTAGGGAGAAGGAGTTATCGAATTGGCGGTTCCTTACAGGATCAGGGGGCGGAGAAAGTTTGCGGTAAAATTTGGGGGTCTTAGAGCTTTTATAAGTGTTCAGGGGTAGGGGTTTGTGATCAGACAAGGTTTAGTATTTCGGTTCTAGCACCAAACAGCTGCATTCCACACTGTCTGCTTGCGCCACCCTGAGCACCGACCTCTCTTGCCGGACGGTACAGCCCTAAACCCTAAATCCTAGTTTCGAAACTTACACCCTGCACCCCAAAACCCAAAACCCGAAACCCTAAACCCCTAAACCCTAAACCCTTAAACCCTATACCCTAAACCCTATACCCTAAACCCTAAACCCTAAACTGAAGCAAAGGTGGGCCTACGAAGCACAAGGGACCCTGGCCCTGGATACCGTTCGAAGGGTAAAAAGTAACTTTAGCAGAATTTGGGGGTTTCTGAAAATAGGGGACCCTAATATAGTACCCTAAATAATAGGATCCTTAATATAAGGACCCCAAAATAAGGTACCCCTAATTTTCGGAAACTCCCATTTTGCTGTCTCATACACGCACATAGGCCCCTCAACCTACAGAACTATACGCTCTGCAAAGCCAGTGCACTAAGTCCTTTCACAGACCGTTCAAGCAACCCCACACCAATTCGGTAGAGATCTTGTTTAAGAGCCAACTTCAAGATCATTAAAGCCCTGAGCCATAAGCCAGAAACCTTAAACCGAAACCCTGAACTTGAATTGTAAACCTGCTACCCAAACCCCAAACACTAAAAACCAAGCCTTACCCGAGTACGCAAAGTTACAACCTTACGAAGCCACAGTGCACACAGACATAAGTCCAGGATCTTTCGATGGAGTCTTGGCCCTTGCCGGTTGCTCCTCAGCCGACTGTTCGCAGCGACAGGCGCAGCCGGGTGTTGACCGCCCTAAAACCCAAACCCTAAGCTTTCCCTAAACCCTCTAATCCCTTCCCCCTATTATTAA